AACAAACAGTGTGGTCAGAACACAGTAAATGAAGATGAAACTAAGCAGGAAAATTGAGAGATACAAGTGGACATAGAAAATATCACAATAAAGCAAGTCACACTTTTGGCTTCCCAGTGCATATAGAAGTTATGTTTATACTGTACTGTAGTCTAAGTGTATAATAGTATTATGTTTAATAAAAATGTACATACTTTAATTTTTAAATATTTATTGCTAAAATTGCTAATGATCACATGAGTCTTCAGTGAGTCATAATCATATTGCTAGTGGAGGGGCTTGCCTCCATGTCGATGGCGACTGATTGATCAGGATGCTGACTGACAAAGGTTGAGGTAGCTGTGGCAATTTTTTAAAATAAGACAACAAGGGACCAGTTATGGCATAGTGGTTATATCACTGGGCTCCCATGTAGTCAACCACAGTTTGAGTTCTGGACTCAGAGGCTTAAAATTCACGCCAGGTGAGTGCGTGTGGGTGCCCAAGATCCCAAGAGCAGAATGGAGAAGAAGGGATTGTGGTGTGGCCAACCCTCCGGTGGGTGATTGCTCACTTTCTGTCTCTCCAGTGAACACACGTGCTCTATAGCAAAACAACAACAAAACAAAGAAAAAAAACAACTCTTACAAAAATAAGACAACAAAGAAATTTGTCATGTTAATTGAACCACAGAAGATTTCTCTGTATCATGAAATGCTCTTTGGTAGGTCTTTATCCACAGAATTTCTTCCCAAACTGGAATCCTCTCAAACCTAGGTGCTGCTTTATCACTCAGTTTATATAATAATCTAGATCCTTTGTTATTTCACCCATGTTTATAGCATCTTCACCGAGAGTAGATCCATCTCAAGAAATCAAATTTTTGTGTGCATTCATTAGAAGCAGCTCCCCATCCATTAGTTTTGTCACGAGACTGCAGCAATTCAGCCACATCTTCAGGTGGCACGTCTAATCCTAGTCCTCTTGCCATTTCTACAGCACCTCAGTTACTTCCTCCACTAAAGCTTGGAACCTCTCAAAGTCATCTATAAGTGCTGGAGTTAACTTCTTTCAGATTTCTGTTCATGTTCATATTTTGACCTCCTGTGAACCATGAATATTCTTAATAGCATATAGAATGGTGACTCT